CAACAAATAAAACTGTGGTATGATATAAGTCAAGGCTTAAAAATGCGAAATCAATCTGCCAATTTTCCAGTCAGTACATTTATGGATGATGTTACTCTTCTTTCACAGGCACAATTTTGGATGTGCTTGTATGAAGGCTTAAACATGCAGTCTAAACACACGAAGTTGACCTTAATTAACCTGAAAATAGCCTCTAAAGAGCGGCATTCCGTAAACGGCATTAAAGTTACAGTCACTTGATTATACTTTTTGCCCGCTACATTATCTGAAAACATAGTTGTTTTATGCAAAGCAAAGTCAGACGTGTTGGTCCTACTCGTTAATTCACTTTTATGTTATTTTTTTGGAAGCAACAATCGCGAGCCGTGGATTTCAAATAGTAATAACAGGAGTCTTGGGTCGTGCAGATATGATCCCTATCATCCTGTTGACAAATTCTGCCCCATTTTTAAGATGTCCACTATCTTTGATCAAACGGGTGTATGCGTGAACACAATTTTTAAAGTAAGTTGCAGTGAAAATTTTAAGATGGCTCATTGGCATATATAGTCCCTAAATTCACTTAATAGTATTTTGTTCTTCCTATTAAGGGAAACGAATCCAATAAAGCCTCAGTTGACAAATTGTTTTAATTAGACTTACGCTTTTTGCTTTAAATCATTTAAGTTAATCATGATAATAGTTAAATTTTAACTTGAGCATTGACCTCATACTCGTCCATAAATATCCAGTGGCATTATGTCCCAACATCACGAGCATTTTGAATAACAGCGTATCTTATGAAATATTGTTTTTCAATCAATTTTCAGCATATGGACTGAGCCATAGTTATCATAAGAAGCATTTTTGTGAAATTTTATAGTTCTCGATTTTCAAGCAGATGGTGCTATATTGAAATAGGGAGATCGTGTAATTGTATTTCTCTTACGTAGTGCATACAATGTTATATCTCATAATGCATGACTTTATTATTAAACACGCGTTGTACACAATTCCAACTTTAATGTTCGTAAATGCATCGTATGGATACAAAAGAAACTGACGCGACAGTTCCCCCGTCGATTTCGACGATGGGCAGCACGC